AAGTTATCCTCTGAAGATACTCTAAAGTCATTATAACAAAAAAATCCAAGAGCAAATCAAATTGATGATTAATAATAATAGTAATCCTAATAAATCTATACATCACTTTTAATAGGGTCAGATTTACCTTATCCAGATTAGCATCCAAATACATTTAGTAAAGAAGAATTCTAATTTTTATTAAATGTAATTAAATTTCGATTTTACATACTTTCTAATGCTAAGGAATAGAAAAAATATATAGCCAATTTAGAATAGTCATATAAAAATTACATATTTCAAATAGATTAATCAAATGGAATGGCATAAAGTACAGTCCCTTCATTTTCTCAAGAAATATAACCATATTTAAAATTTCATGCTTAAATGATTTTTAAATTTATGAAGGCCTAAAAACATTTAACACTCAATGAAAATGTTTAGTGTATAAAAATGATAAATCCATAATCTGAAATTTAAAATCAATAAAATTTGGAATTTACTAAATAGAAATAATACTTATATTTAGCTTAAATTTATAATAATCTTGGTTGTGTACATGCTAAAATGGGAAAATATGCACTTGCTGCCGTTTATTTTCATAAGGCTATATCTTAAACTAAATTAGTTCAATAATAATCTAATCTCTATGAAGGTATCATTATGACCAATGTCAAATAAAGATTATATGCCATGTATTAAAACTTAGCAGATGCATTATTTATGGATTAATAATATTAAAAAGCTCTTAATATTTATAATCAACTATAGGATTTGTGTAATTAGAATGCTAAATTTTGGTATAATAGAGGAGTTTGTTTCATTTAAATTTATCATGATTCTATGCCAGATAAAAATGAATTATATGAAATTTCAGAAGATCATTAATAATTAAATACTTAAGATGAAGGCAAGAAGATTATTCTTTAGAGTAGAGAAATCTATAGTGATGCTGATGAGGAAGTTTAGGATTAGTTTTATAAAACTGATTAGAAGAATGAAGAAAACAAATTTGTTTAATCTAAAGCCAATAAAGAGATACTAAACAATGCTATTAAGTAAGATAAATAAAATCTATTAGAGATCTTTTCGTAATGCAATAACCTTATCTAAAAAAGAAAAAAGAGAGGAAATCATTCTATTAGATTAAGATTAATTATAAATCTTAGGTTCTTAAATATTTGAGTCTTCCATAGTATTTTTAACATATTCCTTACTTTGTAGAGGAGATTATAATTTAGCATTGTCTCAAGGAAAGGAAGCTTTGGAATATAATCTATCGGATAATAATAAATACATAATTATTCAATATGTTTGTGAAGCATATCTATAAATTTCAAAAGTTAAGGATGCCCTCAATTTCATCAACAATAGCAATGTGTCTTAATTTTTAAATAAATTTAATAATAGCAGTTTATAATTTTAATGTAGAAATATAGTAGGAATTTAAACAACTTGTATTGCAAACTATGGACCTAAGGCAATCTATCATTTTAATTAATCAGCCATTTATCTCCACAATAATTATATAACTTAGGCTTGGAATTCAATTTAATCTATGATGAATTGCTGTGAAATTAATATCAATTCAAGCAATGCAACTATTCCAATTCCAATATTAAATTTATTAATATGGTATTATTTGAAATCAGGTAAAATTCATTATTAATATAGATAATGTTTAACTTGCAATCCATTTAATCAAGAGAAGAAGACTATTAACAGGATAGATGGGAAAAAATAAAATATCTCTGTTAAATATTACAAAATGATATAAATAGTAAATAATAATTAATCATTCTTTTATTAATATTATAAACCACATATATATATATATATATATGAAATGAATAAAGAATTAATAGATCTATCATAAATAGTATCATAACTTCACTATTTATATAACTTGATTAAAATTTCAAATTAATAAAATTGAGATCCAATATAATTATAATTAATAATTAATATAAGTTCTTAATTAATAATCTTCAACCCTTATACGAAACTGAAATATAAAAAATAATTAAAAATAAACATTTATTTATTATTCTCATTAGATTAAATCAGCAAGTTAGATAATTAAAGGTGGAAATCCATCTAAATTGTAAAATTTTTCTAATTCTTAAGCTGATTGTAACATCCTATTACAAGTAAAACAAATTTTATTATAATATTTTGTGTTTGCTCTTAAATAATTTATCAATTACTAAATTATTAATTTAATAGACTTACTTAATTCGAATTATCTAAAGTTTCTACTTCAAGACGATTATAAACTTAGTCTCTAATTTCTAAGCATAAAGGACAATGGTTTTATTACTAAAGAGGTTTAATAGTAATTTTTTCTGCTGAGCTCAAGACAGTAAAGGTTGTTGAAGGGAAACCTTCTTACAATTTATCTATAAATTATTCAAGCAAATGATCAATATTACCATGAGCTGGTTTCTAATTATTAAAATTATAATTTTACATTTTTGACATTATTACTTAAATGTTGTCCTAATATAAATTAGGGAAAGTTCATATTAGATTTTAATCTGAGATAATACAAAATATCTTTATTGAGTAATTCTTTAAGAGGATGCAATATTTATAATTTTTATTAATTGAGAGGGTAGATAAATGAAAAATTGTATTTGGTTGCTGATTGTAAACTTAATCCTCTCCCTTTTGATAATTAAGAAAATAAATCGGCAGCTAATCTTTATCCATTTTAACCAAAGCATACCTAAATAATTAGTTTTATATACATTTTAGTAACCATTTTTAATTGCATAATCATAAATAATATGATTTTTGATTAAACGAACAAAATCTTCCCTTGATGATCCAGATTCGGATAAATTATGAAGTTATTTAAGTAATATATAAGGATCAGGGTATATAGATTGAATATCAATATTTTTAAATGGTAATTTGCATTCATTAGTAACAAAATTAGTGTAATCTTAAGGTTGCTTAAAAATTCATAGGTATAATTACATATTCTTATATAAATTGTTTCATAATAAAACTTTCATTTATGTACAAAACATGAACCTCAATAAACATTTTACTTTTGTTATAAGCACAAGTTGAATGTACAACATCACTAGCCATTTTGACTAAAGCTGTTGAATTTCTTAAAATTGAATAAACTAATACTATCCTCCAGAAAAGCAAACCAATAATTTTTCGTTTTTCTATGTTATATTACATTTAAGTCTTAAAGACATTTTAAACATATGTTCAACATATCCAATAAAGCATTCTTTGCAAACAGGATCTTTTTAGATGATAATGTTTGGATTATTTGTTTTACACTTTTTGCAAAGTTTAGGTTCTTTTTATTACATAAATAAATATTAAAATATGAAAGGAAAAAAATTGTTAGATGATGATGAGGAATTTCTAAGATCGAAATCATAGATAGTAATATAATAATATAAAATATAGGATGTATTTCCAAAATGGTAAGAATTGAAACCATTGGGTAAAAATATACATAGAAGATCATATCATTCATGTGTGAGTCATGAGAATTAGTATAGATTCAATATATAATGTTAAGTCTTTATGTGTATGGAGGATATGAAACAAATGAAGGAATTTTGAGTGATTTTTGCAGAATTCCATCACCTGTTTCATAAAAGTCTTTTTGTTGGACAATCATAACTAAGAAAGCCCATGCTGATCAATCATAAGATCTAATTCCAGGACCATTAAGAAATCATACAGCAATAGTTCATTAGAATAAAATGTATATGTTTGGAGGAAAGGAAAACTTGATGTCTCCAACTGCAAAATTATGGATATATAATTTTTAAGAGGAAGTATTTATTGAGGGAAAAGAATGTATAATAGATGGCAAAAAAATGGCAGTAGAAGGTCATTCAAGTTGCTTATGGAATGAGCAGGTAGAAATGCAACACAATAATCTTAGTAATAAATGATTGTCTTTGGAGGATTTTACAGTGATACTGGATATAGATCATCTATATTATTTTATGATTTATAGAAAGAAAATTGGACAATGATATTTAAAGGAGATAATAATTAAGCTTAATTTCCAAAAGGAAGGGCAGAAGCAGGAGTTACATTAATTGGAAATACATTGTATGTATATGGAGGATGTAATTATGAATCAAGATTTGGAGATTTTTGGAAATTTGATTTAGAAAATAGATAATGGGGATAGATTATAACAGATAAATCTCCAGGAGTAAATAATGTTAATTATTTTATAGACAAGATCTTCTACTTCTTTATTAATTCATCCATAAGGGATAATGTTATTTGGAGGTATTCATGATATAACTCATGAGAAAAATGATTTGTGGTTATACAAAGGGAATGAATGGACATAATTGGAAGAAGATACTAGCAGAAGACAAGTGGCAGATGAAATGTTAAATGATTCTGCATTTGACAAAGCAAGTTAAGCAAGACCATAAAAGAAAGAGAAAGGTAGAAATGAACCTAGATCTTTTTTATTATTGGATGAAGAGCCAAAGAATTCTATTCATTAAAGAAGAAATTCTGTTAAGAATCTTGATCAAAAACAAAATACTGATACTAACAATAATTTCTAATTAAATAGTATGGATGAATTGAAGAAGAAAAGATTGTAACAAAAGAAAAACTAAATGCTGTATTATATATATTATATAAAATAGGGCTGAATTTGAGATGAATGAAGAAGAAAAATCAAAATTTAGGAGTTCATCACCCACTACTGATTAAATTAAGAATTCAATAAGTGTAATCACTAATTAAGAAAAATAAGGTGGATAAAGAAAGATACAATCACCAACAGGAAAAAAGAATGCTATCTAAGCTTCTCTTAATGGCAAGAAACCATGTGCTAGGGATGGCCATAGTGCTATTGTAATGGGTGACATAATGATAGTATTTGGAGGAGACAGAAATTTGATGTCCTTTAATGACATCTATATGTACTCGTTCAATTAAAAATGATAATCTTAAATTGTTTTGAATAACTTTAATATTCAATATACAAAGTACGTATTAAATAAATTATTATGTTAAAAATTATTAAATACTTTGGCACCATCAAACATTTTAAGTTGCCTGATTTAGGAGAAAGTAAAATGGTTAATAATTATTAGAAATTAAGGAAGCTACTATTGTAAAATGGCATGTCAAAGAAGGTGATAAAATCACAGAAGTACAATATGTCTCTTCAGATAGTTTGATCCTGTTGCAGATGTTTCCACTGACAAAATGTTCACTTAAATCCCTAGTAGCTTCACTGGAGTCATACATAAGAGATATCACAAAGAATAAGATCAATGCCAAGTTGGAGAGTTGTTTGTAGATATAGATGTTGATGAAATTTCATCTGTTTCCAATCAGAAAAATTAAACAACTCAACAATCATCTCAAGCTCCAACACCTTAAATTGCATCAAAACCTACTCCTTAAAGAGAATCATTGCTTTAAAGGATTTCACCATCTGCTAAATATTTGGCCTTATAAAATAATATTGATATTAACAATGTTAAAGGTACTGGCATCTATGGAACAATCACTAAAGATGATATTTCAAATTATCAAGAGCAACCAAAAACTACATAATAAATTAATTCAATTTCATAATCATAAACAATAAAAATGAGTGATTTTTAAAAAGGCATGTAAAAATCTATGACTGAATCAAATACAATTCCACATTTATATTTATAAGAAGAAATTGATGTCACATCTTTAGTAATTCTTAAACATAATATCTTAGAGTTCGTTTAGAGAAGAATTAAAGAAATAATAAAATATTACTTTTATGACCCTCTTTATTAAATCTTTTTCTCTTGCATTACTTTAGTTTCCTATATTAAATTCAACATATGATCCAAGTGTCCCTTTTTAATTTATCACACATCAAGATCATAATATTTCTATAGCTATGGATTCACCTAAAGGTTTAGTTGTACCAAACATAAAATAAGTTTAAAATCTATCAATTTTAGAGGTTCAATAATAATTAAATAAGTATTAATTATTTTAGAAACTATAGATTAAAAAAATTAGGAGATGAAAGTAAATTAGGTCCTAATGAATTGAATAATGGAACAATTTGTATTAGTAACATAGGAACTATTGCAGGTACATATGTAGGACCTTTAATTTTACCTCCTTAAGTATGTATTGTAGGAATTGGAAGAGTTGTTTTATAACCTAGATTTATTGCAGGATCATATTAACCCAGAAAAATTGTAATTAATTCTTTTATATTTTATTTAAGATCTACACAAGTTTTGGTTGTGATCATAGAATATTGGATGGTGCTACAATTGCTAGATTTTAAAATACTTGGAAATAGTATTTAGAATAACCAGAATAAATGATGGTTAAATTAAAATGAAGAAATATAATATATTGTAAGATAAAATCATTTAATTTATTTAAATTATCTTCAAGATAATACTTTTCTATCTAATTTTTATTTTAGCTATCTCACTCCTTTATAAGTAATTGATTTATAAATTTCCTTTTAGAATTTATACTCTAATTAAATCAAACATCTGATTAGAAGTAGCCCTTGTGTACAAATTGGATTAATACATTAGGTATAAACATATATAATATTTATATTAAAATTCTGATTCAAATTTATGATTATATTTAATTCTTTTTTTTAATAATAGAGAATTCAGTTTTTTCTATTTGTAAAAATGTGGTCTCTTAAAAAATGAATTTATTTAGGTTTTCATCTTTATGTATTTAGTAACCATCCTTTTTTAAATGTTTCCAATCTCGTAAAACAAAATTAATCATGAAAAAGTTAAAAATGAAATACATATAATTTTCTTTTTACAATTTAACTTATATTATGAAAAAGGAAAACTTGAACTAAGAAAATTTCTAAATGTTCATTAAATTGATGCACTTACAAAACAATGTTATGAATTTAATGACTTTTAATAATTAAAATGAATATTAAACTCTTGATTATATTTATCGTTTTGCTATTTAATGGTGGTAATCAATTTAAAGTAAAACAGTAGTTCTCGCTAGCAAAGTCAAAGAATGTTAAGCAAAATGTGATTCATAAATAAATATCTGTGTTTATACATGCGCATAATCTTAACTGAGATAATCATTAGAAAGTTAAGCCAAATGCAAGAAGATGTGTGATACAGTAAACAAGGAGTGCAAGACTTCTAAATGCTACTTGGAAAGTTGATTGAACAAAGCTATGAAATATCAATATGATTTAAATAAATGAATAAAACTTTCTTGCTTCAATTCTTATGCAAAAATTTTCAGTAGTCTCAAAAAAAATGTCACAATCGAGAAATAATTTTTCAATTATTCAGTTAATGTGATTTAAAATATCTAATAAAACAGAACTAAAATACAAGAAATTCCAATAAAAACATTAACCAACTTATTTTAATAAAAAATATTTTATTAACAATACTAGTTTCCTTAACTCAAGTTTAACAATTACATTAACTTTATTAAACTATAAATTTCCATTACAAAGATAATATCAGATCTACACATATTTTCTCTCTTTGCTTTTATAATTAATGTTAAGAACTAAAGGGAATCTTCAATAATCAACATAAATAATCAAAGAGATTTCTAATGTTTTACTATCTATATTAAAAACTTAAGTTTATTTAAACATTATTGAAGAATATTTTTCATATTTGATTCTGTTTTTTCTTGAAATTCAGATATATAAAAACAAATATTATATAATTATATAAACAAAATTTGGAATTATTTGAATTAATACATTTCAACAATCCCATAAAATCGTATTCTTTATCATTTATGATTATTTTATTGCCTTTCTTTCACAAAGTTTGAATATATCTTATTCTAATGCTTGTTTACAACTAAAACGGTTCTTAGGATTCACTTCTAAAAGATGATTCATTAAATTAATAAGTTGTGTATCACCATTAATTCTTTATCCAATCTTTGGTAGTTTTCCAAATACTAACTCATTCAAAAGTACTCCAATACTATAACAATCTACTTTATTATCATATTTCTATTTTTCAATTATTTCTGGAGCCATGTAACCTGGAGTTCCACAATATTAATTTGTTTCTGTTGTCTTTACACAAATTCCTAAGTCTGCTAACTTTACTATTCCATTTTGCAATAAAATATTTTCAGGTTTAATATCTCTATGAATAATCCCATTCTAATGTAAAAAATTGACTCCTTTTAAAACTTGATATATTATATCAATTATTTATTTTTCATGTAACTTTTTTTCCTTTTTATAATTAAATAATGTTATATCTCCTAATTCTAAAACTAAAGCAATCTTTTATAATAAATTATTATACTTATTTTTCATCATTTATTACTCCATAACACTTTAATATGTTTTAATGGCTAATAAAACTTTATATAATTATTTCCGTTTTTATCAATTCTTAAATGCCTTTGCTAGTTATCAATGATTTTTATATAGTTTTTAATGCTGCTATCATTCCAGTTGTTGTATCACTAAATTAAATAACCATTAAAATAATACATAACTGAATAAACATCACTAATATTGCCTCTCCCTAAATATTTTATCTTTTTAAATTTATTTAATGGAGAGTTATGATTTTTCGACATCTACATATAACTAAATTATTTATCATTACTAGAACTCCTTAATGGAGTAGTTTAATTTGTAGTAGTTGATTGTCTACTATCATGAGAAAAATTGGAAATATTGCGAATAGGTTTAGGTAGTTCGATCATCATTTTCTATTCTTTTATATTTTACTATTTCACTTAGCTCTTCTATATTTGTAAAGGGTTCTAATTTCTTGAATTCAAGATCAATAGTTTAATTTCTTGAATTTTTTCTCTATTTTTTTCCAATTAGTTTTCATACTATATATTTATTTTCGGTTTCACAAATTGATTTTGATTGTTAATAGTATCATTACAAGGTATTTACATTTAAGGGAATATATTTTTTGAATTAGAGAAATCTGATGATTGATGATGATGTCTGATGAATTAACTATAATTTTATTAATTATATTTGAATACCAATTCTTTTTTTGTGTTACACGAGAAGTCATACAACTATTTTAGATTATTTACACATGAAACTCCATTTTTCTTCAATTACTAAAAAATAATTAATTTTATTTTTAGTAATAATGTGACACTGACTAAACTGTATTATATATGCAAAAGATGTTTATGATTTGAAATAAGGATTAAGATATTAAAATTATTAAGTTTAATTTTGTTGATGAATATTGTTTTAATAGTATTTTTAATTTTTTACATTAATAATAATCTTATGAGATTCATGAATTTGTAATTTCACTCATCTTTTCTTAGAAAAAGTTATTTATCAAAGGTTTCACTAGTTTTAATAAGTTCTTTGATATACTTAACCATTGAAAATTATTAATTTTTTTAGTATAATAATAAATCTCTTCTAAAATAAATAAAATTAATTGTTGAAATTTAGGTGATAAACATTAATTTTTAAAGAAAATAAATTTTTGTGAGTATGTTATAATTGCAAATATAATTTGGTTAATTGAAGAAATCATGTAATTATGATATTTAATTTTATTAAATAGGCATCTAATAATTAATTAGGAAAAACATAATCAATATCTATCATTTTCTATATACATATACTTATGTTTAAGAAATAGCAATCATATTGGGTTTGATCAAAAATATAAATTTAAGAGAAACCTACATTATTCAATAATTTATTATCAATTATCCCAACCCTTATTTTATTTTAAGCAATTCATACAGAGAAACAGCTGAATTTTTGTTTATTTAACTATTTAAAAGTTCATAGGAACCCTTTATAATACTAATGATAAAACCATAAATATATATTTTGGTTGTGATGATTTCAATTTTCTGTGTTTAATATATATAATAGGAATAATTATATTAAATATTTTAAAAAAGATGCAATTTTTGGTAAAATCTTCAGGACGAGTGGGATTCTTCGGATTTGCTACAGCAGCTGCTACTCATAAGGATATTGCAGGAAAGAATTTCTAAAAATTCTAAAGCAAATATGCAGAGTATGTCACTCAATTCAATCAAAAGCTGTAAGAGCATAATCTTTAATCATGTAGTGAAGCTATTGAGAAAGAGAATAAAGCACCAAATGTTGCACCTTAAGGTAAAGCATTCGAGCATCCATATAATAATCCACACAATCCAGTGAACTTCAGTGGTGTAAGTATTAAATATTATACCTTAGATTAAATCATCTGAATTGTTTTATAACTTCATTGGACCAGAATAAGTTTCACCACATTATGAGAATTTCCTTGTTGCAAGAAAATATCTTCTTTTAACTTATGGAGGATTGATTGTTATTGGATTTGCAGCAGGCACAACAAATCTTCATTGGATTGCTAAATCATCATTCTTACCATTCTTATTCTGGATGCAAATTATGTATTTCTACTTGGAAGGTCGTAAATCATTTATGAAACCATTACTTGCTAGATTTTACAGAAGAGTAGCTGGAAATGAATGTTTCTAATTAGATCAATATTATCATGAAAATATGTAACTTAAAATTCGCACACTACTTGAAGCAGCTAAAGGATAGATTGAATATGGATAATTACATAAAGAATTCAGAGATGTTAAAGCAGAATTAATTAATACTGTATTTATTAATAAATTATATTCTTTAGTTTCTTATGAATGAATAATTAAATCTATAGAGACATGTTGTTGAGAGATCATAAAA